GGGGACACAGCTGAGGTGACATCCAGGAACACAAGCTGTGTGTCACCAGGGTCTGCCACAGGAGAGAGAATCTCTGTGATGAACAGGGAAGGGAGTTAAACAAGTTAAAGGTCAAGGAGAGCAGAGGTTTGTAAGACACTCTTCTGTAGTACCAGTGCCTGTTTTCTGACACACCATCAGGTTTTGGCATTGTTGGGTACAAAATGGGCTTTGAGTGCCTGAGCTGCAGGTGAATTAAACTCAAGGTTTTCCCATGCACTGGCTTTGACTCAATGAATAATCGAGTCAAATAATAAACTAACTAAATGATAAAATGATCACTTGGGGGAAAGGGCATCCACCTTCTAAACAGGCAAATTGCAATGCAATAAATAGGATGTTAAAACACCCACTGTCGCGTATTCCCTGCCACAGCTCATTGACCAGAGTGTGACCCCCAAAACCTTTCTGCAGCACCTGGGAGTTCCTGCAGTGATGCCTGTGCAGGAACTGCTCTCCATCAAACAACACTTGCATACAAAACTGGAGTCACTGCCTCCTCTGTTGTGAAGGAATAAATCACCCATGTGTCCTTCTTAATTCTGAAAAAAAGAATGCTCAGTGGAATATTTTGGGGAAAAAAAAGGGCAATGATTTCTTTTCCAGGTATCTTGACTATCAGTTACACTGGGAGTTCTTAGAAGGACAAATAACTCACCTCCAGCTGGGTTTTTTTGCATCACTTTATTTTTGCAGAGAGTAAAAAATATTTAATTGAATTTACCAAATATTTAATTGAATTTAAAGGGGCAAGGCAGCCAACAAGCATTATTCTGTGACAAAGTTCTGGCCCATGAAATATAAAAAGACTGCCCAGAGGGTGACTGGTGATATTTCCTTCAGTAATCTTACCTGATGCTCCATCAGCAGAATAATGACAGGCTCTTCTGTGTCTGCAGGTTCTGACAGAAGGCTCCAATTTCACTTCCTTTTGGAAATTGTCATTTTCCTCCCCAAGCTGCTCTGCTTCTGTGGAAAGGCTGTGTCTGAAGTGTTTGCTGGAGTACTGAACAGTTTATAGGCCTGTTTGTGAGGGGGAAAAATCAGATAAAAATTAATGGAGGGACAGATTATGAAAATCCAAAGCCATGAGGTCTGGGGTGTTTTTCAGCTTTTAGGATTCCATTAGCTGCTAGTTCCAGCTTACAATTCTTTTAAGAGCTAAAAAATCCAACTTGAAAAATTGGAATCCTGTTGTTTTGGAATTTTTTTTCTGTTTGTTTGTTGTTTGCAAGTAATACTCTGTTTTTCTGTTGGTTTCATGTCACTGGCCAGCATGCACACCAAATGCTCTGTGACTTATGGCCTGCAGGTGAGAGAACAGAGCAAGGGAGAACTGTAAATCTATCCAAACACATTCAGCAAATTTGGAACGTTGTGGGGCTCAGTGGGGCATGAAGCCCAAACTAATGCAGTTTTCTTCTGTTGTCTTCTGTTGCATAGTCAGGGAAGAATTTCTGCTTTAATGGGGGGAACGAGCCTGTTAAGATGCAGTTTTTGGCAGAACTGCACTGGTCTGTGCTGACCTGTGGTGAATCCAGTGACTTTTGGTGAAGATTGCAACCAGTGGCCATCCACTGGCCCAAACTCTACTTTCTTAAAATGTCAGGAAAATTAAAATATGTTAGGAAGTTAAAATATGCCTTGTCTAGTACTGTACCAGCATGTCCCAGTCTCTGCAGGCCAGAACTCAATTGTCTGTAGTGCAAATGAGAATCCTCGGTGCTCTGGTCTTAAAATGGCTAAAAAAATCTCCAGGAAATGTAAACAAACAACCCAAACCCCTCTGGTACTACGTCCAAAGGAAAGATTGTGTGAAACACTGGCCTGGCTATTTCAGGAGGTGCAGCACATGCTGTGCCAGCCTTGCTCCTGCATTGCTTTGTGCCAGCACAAACATTCATGTCACTGCTGTGGGTCTGCCTCAAAACCCCTTCTGCCCTTGTGGAAGGAGCCTTTTTAAAAACTGAATTTGTTCTTCACATGTGGTTTGTGTGTGTTTGAAAGGGTTGTTTGGTTTGGTTTGGTTTGGTTTGAATTCCTTTCTGTGTAAAAGATCTCTCGAAAAATCTGATTATTTAAGGAATGAGTGCTCAGAGGTGGGCTTGAAATTATACTTTCTTGTAGTGCTTTACAGATACTTAAGAAATTTCTTTTCCTGAAGTAAAGAGCAAAATTAGGTAGATGTCTGTGGTTCAGGGTGTCTGAACCACCCTGTGTGTGTCTCATAAGCTGTTAGCTCTGTCCTGTGCATGGCAGAAACTGGAGGCAGTGATACCTATGAAATGTATTAAAGATGACATAATAGATTGTGAAGAATGGATGTGCTTTTCTGGATACTATAGTGTTTTGTAATTTTTAACATGCATCTCCTGAATCTGTGCATTTGATGATAATCACTTTGGATTTGTACACGTGAAAAAACAAAGTCTAGTGCCAACTCTGAACATGACTAAAGTTTCATGTACAACAGAAACTTGTTGTTCACTATCGCTAATAGGAGGTATTAAGGTAAAGAAAAGCTGTTTGTTCACTGTTTTGAATTTCACCTAGCTAGAAAAATCAGTCCTGTGACACTCAAAATAGACATCTCATTTACTTTTTAGGTTTCTGAATTTATCTCTGAAATCCTCTTGTCAAGTGTGTGTTAACAAATACATGTTCCAGCCATAATATAGATATTTTAATTTTGTGTACTTGCATTTTGATGCTGCTCTTGTGAATTAGTGAAGATAGGCAGCAGCATCTAACTCCTTCCCTCAGAAAACCCTTTAATCAGTTTAAGTAAAATATTTTTTCCTTCTTTTAGCAGCTCTGGGGCCAGTATGTTTCTAAGGTGAGTACCTCTTTGGAAAGCATACTGAAAACGGGCAGTTTGTAAAAGGGAGAAGTTCTGTTGTGTGCCCTTAGCAGAAAATGTTTCAGAGTTTGTCAAGTCGTGTATGAACAGCATTGCTCCTGATGACTGTGGTACAGCTTGCTGTTGTTGCTGAGCAGCATTATTGTGAAAAAAGGTGTGACCTTAGAAGCAGGTCCCACTCTACATTCATACAAGCAAAACCCAAATACCAGGAACTTGGAGGCCACAGGGCTTGCTGTGTGTAAGGACTAGTGAGTAAATGCTCATAGTGCCAGGGAAATGTCTGATCTCCCTCCAGCTGCCAGAGAGAAGGTCTGTGAGCTTCCTAATCCCCTACCCAGGCTCCTTCCCTGTTCCTGTGTGCTAGGAGCTCCTTTTTGTAGTGCCAGGGGCTCCAGATGTGTACAGACAAAACAGAAGAAGTCCTTCTGCTGTGAGTGTGGAGGAGGGATACAGAAGGCTCAGGGTCAAACCTGCTCCCTGTCACCTCTCCCTCTGTGTTCCTGGGACCAGGAAAGCTCTCCTGTTCTCTTTCCACCCTCAGCTGCTCGTCTCTCTCCCTGTCTAGTCCCAGCAGGAGAATTTGTGAGTGGACTGGGCGAGGAGGCTGACCCACAGCAGAGCAGAAGGCTTCCCTGGTGCTGAGTGCATCAGTTTCCTGGTGGGGTTCCCTGTTCTCCCCAGAGGGCAGGGACACAGGTGGGATGCTGGATTGCTGGCTTTACAGCTGGGTCACAGTAAGTCAGCTAAAAATACTTGTGCAGCTACAGCCTCAGACTCTGTTCCAGGAAAAGTTTCCCTGAAGTGTTGCTTTGATTTGGTCAGGAGGACAACTCATCTGTGGGCCTGTTTGTCTGAAACGGGAATTCTCCTGTGGTGGTTTACAGTGCTCGCTTCTTCCAAAAGTTATGATAACTGTAAAAAAATAACAGAGTGAAAGGGTAAATTTGGGGAAAAAGTCTTATGCCATTTAGTCTTTTTCAGGTTGATTTTTCTTAGTTTGCCGTGTTTCTAAACAGGACAATGCATCCCAGTGGATTTCTGCCTGGCAATACAGAAGACCCTTCTCACGGCTTTCAGCAACAAAGAAAAACCTGCCTTCTTGCCATGCATATCTGAAGGTTGGCTAGAGTCAAAATTACTTATTTAAAATATATAGGTCACTTACTCCCTGTTAGAGGCCTGCTATTTATTTTCTGTCTGCTCAACTATTCAGAAATATTTGGGCTTGCTCTCTCTTTCTGTCTCTTTCTGTCTCTTTCTGTCTCTTTCTGTCTCTCTTTCTCCTCGTTGTAATATATTTTTGGAAGACTGCCCTTTCCATTTTCTGTCTTGAAAGTAAAAGAACAAACCCATCAAATCTTTGTTGCTGTTGTGGCTGTTGACACAATTGCTGTGATTTTGGCGGGGGTGAAAGGGGGAAGAAAAAAGGGGGAAAAATAAAAGACAACAGCCACATCCCTGATTTTATTTTTCCATAGGAAAGCCCCAGTTACCCTGAGACAATGCTCGGCGTCAAAGGCGAACCCTGCTGTTTCTGGTGGCTGAGGTGAGCCTACCTACAAAGGAGCAGGGCACCGCATCAACACCCGGTGACGAAAGGTGCGGCGGAAGATGCGAAAACCCGTTCCGAGGATTTGGGGGTTTTTAATTGTTGCGGTTATTACTTATTTATTTTGCCGTCTCGGTGGGCAGCGGACGAGCCGCTGGGCGAGCGAGCGAGCGGGGAGGGGGTCCCGGGGGCCTCCGGCTCTGTGACCCCGGCAGCGAGAGCCGTGCCTCCAGCGTGGGGAGCCTGTGCAGCACGGGGGAAATGCAGCAGCGCTCGCTCGCTCGCTCGCTCCCTCCCTCCCTGCCTGCCCGGGGGGGTGAAGTGCGAGGCAGCGGGAGGAGCCGTGCGTGTCTCTGTGTGTGTGTGTGTGTGTGTGCGAGCAGCGCCGTGGCCGCCGTGTTTCCTGGTGCCTGCTCCCTGACCCCAGTGGCAGCCCCGATCACTGCACCGCGCCCGCCCTCGCCGCCGCCCCGCTGCCGCTCCCGCAGCCGGAGCCCGGCCGGACCCGGAGCCGCAGCCAGGGCCGCC